TTCCATGTTCTAGCGGTAGATTCATTCAATTTTGCTCATCTTATCGATAGATGGAAGTACTATGAAGGCAAGTCACGAGATCGGCACATACACACACACACACATGCACGTGCGTTAGTAGTGTATACTTCCATGTTTTAGCGGTAGATTCATTCGATTTTGTTCATCTATCGATGAAAGTACTATGAAGGCAAGCCACGAAATTGACACATACACACACACACATACACGCGCGTTAGTAGTGTATACTTCCATATTTTTGCGGTAGATTTATTCGATTTTGTTCATCTATCGATGGAAGTGCTATGAAGGCAAACCTCGAAATTGGAGACTTACCATTCTCTATTTCTCGTCGTCGTTGTCGTAGTCGCCAACAGAGCTCAATGCTGGCGACTTCCTCTTGGGTGCAACACGATCTGTCACGATGTGCAACATACTGACACCACAACTTGGGACGACGATAGGCACAAGCGCGCACTCCAACAGTCGAGCGGATGGCGAACCAACCTCACAACGCCAACGAATGCATCATACACCTCACAGTCTCCACCCTCGCATAAGGTAGTAGAAGATGCCGGCCCAACGCCACTTGCACGTCTGGGACGTTGCCGCCATCGACCGCACGACCAAGTGAGTCGCCCTCACCCCTTCTCTCTTCTTCTTCTTCTTCTTCTTCTTCTTCTTCTTCTTCTTCTTCTTCTTCTTCTTCTTCTTCTTCTTCTTCTTCTTCTTCTTCTTCGTCTTCTCCCTCTTCTTCTTTCTCCTCTTCACGTGCCTCCCTCTTTTGTGCGGCCATCTGCTTCCCGTTCTCCTCCCACACGCTATCTCGCCTACCCCCCACTCGCCATCTCCTCTGCTCCCTGCGTACTTTTCTTGCCGCTTTTTCGATGTGCTCCTCTCGCTCCTGCTACGTCCTGCCTTCCACTCCTTCGTGAGTTTTCACGATGTGGCGCCACAATGCTGAGAAGGGCGAACCTACCTCCACGACCTCGCCCAGATTCATAGCCATAATTATCTACTATGTTGAATCGACCTTGGTTTCCCAAGCAGATTCATTCATTTGAATCTCCAAAGAGCAACTACCAGAAAAAAAATAAAAAAATAATAAGAAACAAAAAGGAAGGTGAATCTAACTACCTAAAGAAAAAATAATAAAACTGAAAAATAAAAAAACAGAATCCAACTACTAACTACCTTGTTGTGCCAACTGTCACATGGAGATTTTTCATTTCTTGGGCCTCCAACTTTTGAAGTCCACAGGCGGACCGCGTATGGAAAATATGTATGAGGGGGTTGGGAGGGAGAGGTTCTTATGGGTTGTCCTGGGTCTGTGGGTCGGGTGACCCAGGCCTAGCACTCACCCACCTGTCACTCACCCATTCACGTGACCCAGGCCTAACATTGACCCACCTGTCGTCCACCCAAGCTAGCTCGCCTAGACCCACCCTCATCCCACCCATGCCAGCTTATCAAGACCCACACCTGACCCAATGCCTCGTGGGTGGGGTGGTTGCGGGTGGGTGTGAGCCTGGGTACTCGTTGCTCATCTCTGCTGAAGGGTGGGGGTTAGGGGAAGGGAGGTCTTTTGGCCTACATAATTTGGGGGCCACTCATAGGCGGTGAGACACCAACCTTCAGCTGTCATGTCGGTACTCAGCTTCAGCTGTGTGGTCATAAATCCCCCCCCTCTAGGAGCAAGAGGTAGTTTGATGTCTTCCCATTAGAGGCAGGTATAGAGAGTCATGAACGACGTGAACTGGGGGTTGCTCATATGTGGTAGGATACCTACTTTTGGCTATCATGTAGGTAATCAGCTTTCAGTTGTGCAGCCATGTGATGCCCAAACATCACGCCCAGTGCGACTTCCTGATGGGAGTGAGATGGGGGCCCGGAAGTGGGAAAAGGGGTGTGCCAAGGATTTTAGGAAAGTGGGGGTGGAGTCCCAGGTCGGAACTGAGATCTCATGTGGCAAGTTTCGGGGGTATAGGCGCAAAAAGGGTGTACTCAGAAAGGAGGTTGTTGACGTCGTGCAGCATAAGGCAGAGGGCATGCGCAGTGCATCTCAGGCTAAAGATCCGGGACACTTTCCCGCTATCGTCGTACCGATAGATCTAAACACTCTTGCATTCTCGAACAAGATCCCAACAACATTGCCCCTGCCAATGAGTTCGCCTTCATGGCCGGTTGTGTGGCTCGATCAGTCGTCGACACCCCTCGGCTTCAGTTCGGGCTTGCCGAGCGAATTCCGAGGCTCGATAGGCCTGGTGCCGCCGGCACTTTTCGCACGGCCTGCGGGGCCAATAGCGGGCTATGGAATTCCGCGACACCATTGTGAGTTGGTGGTATGGAAGGAGGAGGTGGAAGGGAGGGAAACTGGTGGTAATAACAACGAAGCTGGGGGATATGAAATATTACGTGTTATAAGTATCCAGGTAGTCGGGGCCCCCGGGGTCGTTAGTTATGGCACAGTGAAAATCCCTTGCGCATAATCGGTCGTTTTCTGTTAGGCAGGGGAATTCCGGTTTTTTCAAGTTCCCCCGCCGTCGGAGTTGTTCACCTTCCCAGTACTCGCGGTATTTCGGGTCCCTCAAACTTTCACGATCGGACATCCAAGAGGGAAATTTCGCCGCCATGTCCGTTTAGAAAGTTCGTTCCCCTGCATCCTCGTACGGAGCTCCAGGCTGACTCACGCAGGCGAGCGCGTACGTAGCGACTCGGTTTCCTCGAGATCGAGGTCGTTCACGAGCGTGCACGTGGGGCAGCGGCGGGGACTCCGGGGAGGTTCAATAGGTCGATCGCATTCATCATGCATGCAGATATCTTATCTCTGCGGCATCGGGTGAGATCAGATCATCACATATCACACATGTGACCAAAGGAGGGAAGAGGGGGGAAAGGAGAAGAAGAAGAAGAAGAAGAAAAGGATTGTCAACTTCTTATAGCACTCGTGTTGATCGAAAGTTAACGACTAAATCAAAACATCCATAATCGAGCGTATGACTCACGCAATTGAGCATTAGACAGAGTCGAAACAGACATTGCAAAACAAGTTTTGAAAATCCGAAAAGGGCGCTAATAAAAGGGGGCTCACATTCATTACATGTATACATACAAAATACAAACGACAAGGAAAATCTGAGGCGATTTACAAGAGAAGTTCAAAAAGAAGGCCGCTATAAAATCGACCATATCCGGATCCAAAATTACACAGATGGACAGAGAGAAGGAAAACAAGGACGAAAAGGACCTTATCCCACACCCACACAATTGTTTTCTCTCTCTCTCTCTCCCTCCACGCTCCCGATGCGGGCAGTCCGTCGCCACGCATCAACACAGAGTTGTCACCCCGCTTGGTTCGAGCATGCAAGCCAGGTTCGCCCGTGCGCCACAGTCTGTCGTGGCCCAGCATGTCAACCCCGCACACCCGACACCAACTCGTCGGATCGCCCAACTCTCACACTCACTCACCATTCAACTTGCTCGTTAGTCGACCCTCACTGATCGCGCTAACCTAAAAAATCTTAGAGAGCAAATTAATCGCGCTTGCGAAATTTATAGCATGCATGCCCCCGTGGAAGGTATGGGATTTAGCCCAGATGGACAAGAAGAGAAGAGAGGAAGTGCCTACGTCTGCATGGCCAGGCCGCGACGTGGGGGTCGTAGCCACACTCCACGCATCGATCCGGTCATGCAGGCATTCAGGCCAATTAGAACGGAGCATGCGAGGTGAGGAAGAAGGAGAAGGCGGGCAAACACAAGGGAATCAAAAAAGAAGAAAGATGTAGTTACAATCGAGTCCGCCAAAACATTAGTTACGTAGGATTAAGGGCGTGATCCAGTCAAAGCCCAGTTCCTAGTGCAGCAAGATGCGCGCTGGCGCGGCGCAACAAAATTCAGAGTACCTAAATTCCTATCCCAAGTCCTAATTGCAAAGGGAAATTATGAAAAAGCATAAAAGAAAAAAAACAATTTCGCGGCGGCTTGACATCAGTTGAAAATTCAAAAACGATATTCCCGCGCCATGATCGCGCCAAAATTTCAGTGCTCCCAGCAGAACAAGAAAGAAGCTATGGTACATTTATTTCTTGCGCCCGTTATGGCGCGACCACCCAACCGTCGGTACGGTATTTTCCCGACATCGATTCGACAACTCCCAACAGAAAACGAAGAGAAAAGAGGGCATCCATGCAACTAGCCCGCCCGACCCATCTTTCCACAGCCCACCCCTTCGACCCGTCACATTCCCCCAAGTAGCTTCGCGCAAAAAGTCGCGCGATTACAGAAAATAGTTCGTCACGTATGTGATGCCCAGGGGGTTCCAAACTTGAGCAAGCTCCTGCTCGCTCTCTCATCAGGCGCCGATCGGTTATCCGATGATCGACGCCGAGCTGACACGTGTCACTTACCGTAGGATCCGAGTGTGGAAGTCATCCGATGGTGGCATGCGTGCGCTCAATCCAAAATATTGCCTGGAAAAGACAATCTAATTACAGTTGGGGAAGGCGGTGGATGGGCTTGGGGAAGAGGGGGCATGAAGCGATGAATTTCGCCATCACTGGAGGGGAGTGGGGCGAAATGGATGGAACGATGGATGCAGGGGAAGCGAGGGTGTCAAAGTTGATGGGGGAGAGAAGCGAGGTAGTCCGGGTAGAGGGTGCACGAGGTGCGGCGGATGGCAATGCGGAAGTCGTCATACTCTTCGCATGCGGGGATCGCGCCCGCGACGATGTAGTAAACCTCTATATTATTGTATTCCCGCCAATCACGCTAAAGAGAAGGATGTGGAGGGGGAAGAAAGTGACGAGTGAGCGGGTAGTGGCATGCGGGAAGATGGTGACCAGAAGGCGGGTGACGTAGCGATGATAAAAGAGGGAGTGGGGAAATGGCTGCCATGTATCGGGGAACGAGGGTCGGCCTATGAGCTGCTGAACGGTGAGGAAGTCACGGGGACGACGGGATAATGACCGGGGACGAAGCCCGTGCGCCCACATCTCGACGTAAGCGAAGGGCTGCGGGTCGAACTGGGGAGGATTGGGAGGGCGATCGACTTCTTCGGGGGCGCCAACTTCTTGATCCCTCCGCGGTGACGTCATCTTGTTCGTCTTCCTCCTGCGGCAGCTCTGGATTGCGCGCCGGATTGTCCTGCAGCAGTTGCGGTGGTGGCCCTCCTGACTCTTCAATCGGCCACTTCCCTTCCGCTGCTGGTCGTACCGTCTGTGCCACGGCCTCCCTTTCCTTTCTGCTTAATTCGTCGGGGCCACTTGATCCCCCCGATTCACCTTCTTCCTCCGCTTCTTCCAAACTGGCCTCCTCCGACTCAGCGTCCCCCGATTCTTAATAATCGGGGTCGTCGGATTCGTCTCCCGATTCCTCCTTCTCTGGCGTCGTCTCCCCTTCCGTAGACTGGAGGTGACCGCCTCCCTCACTTCCCTCTTCCTCCTCGGTCTCCTCACTGGTTTCTCCTATAGGGATGCGCCGGATGAGCGGATCCCACGTGGAGAGGTCTGTGACGTCGACGATCAAGTACGCACCCCTCGGGGGTAAGTCGTAGCCGTTCCCCTCCAACTCCGTACAGGTGGACCAAAGAAGATGCGGCTCGAGGGTACGAGCGAGTGTGGCTGTCCCTGGTCTCTCGTCGCAATGCGAGAGGATCTCCAACGACAGGTCGTCCAGCACTTGGGTTAGAAACACCAGCATCTCATTCGTAATGGAGCTTAGATGGTCATCGCGCACTTCTTCGAACACGATCCCCAAGAAATCTCCCTCCGTGTCCATTCCCCCCCCCTGGATAAGCAGCAACTCCACCTCGTCGTCGGGGATCTCGTCCTCCGCACTTCTGTCGGTGGGTGCCGCCCAATGGAAGGTGACCTCGAGGAGGCAAAAACTGAGCGCCGCATAGGCTTGCCACCACTGCGTCCACTTAGGCGCGTCGAGAATCGACACATCTAAGGGCTTGATCATGAAGGACAGGGATGCTTCCTCGGTTGATTGCCAAAACGTGGGAACATCAGATGGGAGGCTGAAGGTAGAGAGACGATGGCGGTTCATTGAGGCCGAGCAAAGGGACGAAGCACAGGGAGAGTGACTTCAGGCACAGTGGAGGAGAGGCGGAGCTGAAGATCGATGTCGTTTGTTGTTACGACGCGATCGTGCGGTCGTGCCGACAAACGCACCCAGTCTCGTAGTTGTCGAAGGACGGCAGTGTGCCGTGCTGGATGTAACGTCGTGAGGTTGCCTGTAAAGACGACGATGACTGATACGTGGCTCTCGCATGGAGGAGATAGGCGCAAGAAGGCCGATACCTCGGCCAACACTCGTGCCACTCCGGACTGCCTGAACAGGAACTCCGCCGCCGCGTGAATAGCTGTCGTACTGAAGAAGGCCACGAATCGGAGAAGATCCGGACTCAACCGAGGATGCCACACTTGCCGAATTGCTGAGAAGGTTCCCCCAGGTACCATAAGTCGCTCGCTGATCACCTGCTCCGTCGAAAAGCTCATGGCCATGGAGGCGGGGTCGAAGACGATGGTTGAGAGAGAAAGGAGGATTCTAGAGAGTCGTCGTCCTCGTCTTGGTCGAGGGACAATGCAGACGAAGGAGGAGAAGGGGAAGAGGGAAGAGGACGAAGGTAGCACCCCGTGTCGAATGATCGGTCGAGCCGATCGACTTCCCGACACCTCCAGCGCAAGCCACACCGTGTTCACTCCACTGGGACAGAGCTCGACTACGCGAAATCGCCCGAAGAATCGTGGCGCTAACTTTCCTTGGCGAGCACATTTCCTCACCTGCAGGATGTCCCCTAATTTATATTGGGGTCGAGGCCCAGCGTTCCCATTCCGGGCCTCGTAGCTCCGGACTTGTCTACTGTGGGCCATTTTCGTCATACGCTGTATTTTTTGGGTCAGTCGGGAGAGGGCTTTTTTCATCAGCTCTAGGTAACGTTGCGCCTTATCCTTAACCGTCGTTCTAGTGGCCCGTCTAGGAAGGGTCGTCTCATCATTTAGGCTCGGTAGGGCTACACAGGGCAGTTTGTCGGTCCGTAGTTGAAAGGGGACCCATGGACTCGTGGGGTGTCCCTTGGTGGATAGCCAGAATATGGTCCACGATATCGGGTCAGGGTCTCCTGTCATTCGTCATGATATTGCGTCGCAGGGCGGTCTTAATCACCCGATTGGCGTTCTCTACCAGTCCGATGGATTGTGACATGCAGGGAGTAGTGTGGCGAATGGAGACACCGTGCAGGACCAAATTCCTCAAGACTTCCCCTCTAAATTCTGCCCCATTTTTCGTTAGGATCTCCTCAGTCACCTGCTGCATCCCGAGAAAACGGTTGACGTATCGCGCTATTTCGGCCGCCTGTCGCATCTTGCAAGGATAGGCCTCAATCCATTTCGAGAAATGGTCTACAAAAACCAAAAGGATTGAATACTCACAATTATTCGGTCCAGGGGGCACGACAATATCGGTGGTATCAATGCTGACTCTTTGAAACGGCCGTTCAACCACGGTAGGGACTATCGATCTATGCGGCTGAATCGGTTCCTTGTCGGTGGCGCAGACGGAGCAGTTCCGGACGATGAATTTAACATCGTCGTGGATATTGGACAAATACTATTCATTTTTATCGATTGCTGGCTCCGTGATATTCTGACAACGAAATGGGCTGCAGTCTCCTCGTAAGTCGGCTGAACCCAGTCATACCTTGCGAACGGATGCGGGACAGACATCCAAATCCCGCTTCCGTCCGTTTTTCGTTTTTCTAACCGTCCCTCATTCCATCGGTAATCTCGAGCTCTCTCATTGGCCCGTCTCCGTTCCTCCTTTGTGAAGTCTCGGAGGGGGCTCCCCACCACCGTAGCATCAGAACGACGTTTGTCCAGACCTCAGCCCTTCTAAACCGTCGGGTCTTCTCTAGCCCTTCTGACGTGGCTTCGAGAAATCGAGCCTCCATCGGGATCTTATCGGTACGACACAGAGGACAAAACCAGGGTTTGTCTGCATTTCGGTACTGAATACAGGAGCCATGGGCTCGAGAGACACAGCGTCAACAATCTACCCATTCGACATATCCTTCCCCACTAGGACGCATAAGGACCGAATAGACTCTCGAAATTGCCTCGCAAAAATAGCAAAATTTGTTAGGTAAGGAGGGAAAGGACGAGGACGAGAGAGGAGAAAGAGGAGCTTCGAGATTACCTTCGCGCCCCATTGCCATCGTATCGATCACCCCTTAGGAGCTCGAGGAAGGATAACCACCTGTCTGTATCGTGGCCCCGACGGGTTTCGGTTCTCTCCACGGAGTGATCTCCTCCCCCTTAGCCACCTTTGTCGGACGGTGCAGTCGTGTCAATCCGTCCGCGTTCCTGTGCCTCTCCGTCTTCCGGTGGATGATGTCAAAATCATATCCTTGCAGCCGTACTGCCCAACGTCCAATTATGCCTGTGTAAGTAGTGAGCTTCTTGAGAGCAAGCAGGGGCTCGTGATCCGTGACGATGATAAACTTCAAGTTATGTCCGTACAAATACGGATGGAAGTGCTAAATTCCCCAAACCACCATCGTGACGTAGCATTCTCCTTGCGGAGCCGAATCATTCCTCCTCTCGTCCGGTACAATACGAGACGCGTACTCAATGACGTGTTCGAGGCCGTCGTTCCCCTTCTGCGCCAGGATAGCGGAGATTGCCTCAGGCTGCCAATCTGTGATGAGTATGAATTGCTTGATCGGGTCTGGTTGAATCAAAATAGGCGCCGTAACTAGTGCTTCCTTCAAAGTACTGAAGGCCTGTTCACACTCCGCGTCCCAGCCGAGGGGCTGGTCCTTACGCAGCAAGTTCGTTAGAGGTCGTGCGATAGCGGCAAAGCCCTTGATAAATCAACGATAGTACGAAGCCAGACCCAGAAAGGCTCGAACTTGCGTCAGCGACGTGGAAGTGGGGGCGTCCCGTACGACCGCGACTTTCCTCGAATCGGGCCTCAACCCTCCCCGAGTTACCACGTAGCCTAGGAACGAGATCTCAAAAAGGAAAAACCCACTTTCTTCCAGCGCAATCTTGAATCCCGCATCCCGTAGGGCTCAAAGTGTCCATTCGATATGTTGTGAGGACCCGTGGATCAATTCTGAATGGACCAAGATATCGTCCATATACACAATGACGCAGAAATTGATCATCCCCTGAGTCAGTCGAGTCTCGTTGACAGAGTTTTGAAATGTTACATTCATCGCTCTCTGAACCGTAGTCGGCGCATTGCAGATCCCCATCGGGCATCGAACCCACTACCAGGTGCCTTCAAACAGGACCAAAGTCGCCTTGGGTCGGTCCTCCTCTTTAACCAGAACGTGATGGAACCCATGACGAATATCAAACTTACTAAAATAATTAGCACACCCAATCGTGTCAAGCAAATCGTCAATGTGGGGAAGAGGATACACATCCTTGATCGTGATATCATTCAGTTTGCGATAATCGATGCAAATGCGAATCGACCCGTTTTTCTTCGGTACTAGGACTACGGGGAATGACCACCGTCCCGTGGCTGGTTCAATCCATCCGTTAGTTTCGAATTCCCTAATCCTTTGTAAGGCTATCTTTCGTTCCACGAGGGAATATCGATATGTTTTACAGTGGATCAGAGGATGATTTCCGGTATGAATCTCATGTTGAATGACTAACGATAGTCCGATATCCATGTCCGTCACACTAATCGCACCCTGATATTCCTTCAGAATTTCGGCAATTAGATGGTGAATCTCGTTTGGCACGTAATGTGGCACGTGCAACTCGTAGGGTTGACCTAGTATTTGGATAGTAACTTGCTTTGTGTCGATTCCGTCGCTGTTCCCGGGCGGGGGCGCAAAAATGAATGAATCGTCCGATCACCAGGAGAACACCGTGGTCATCATCTGGGCATCTTCCTCCCGGATTGCCATGTGTTCCTCTGGGTTACCCCGTTGCAGACACACCGTCAGCCATGGGAAGGTGACGGGCCGGACTGGAGGGGGCCAGGAGAGGTCCGCAGTAGAAAGCGGCGGACGGAGCTAGCAAGGCTAGCGCGAGCACCGTCAAAGGGGGAGGGGTGGTTCGGGTCCAGGGTGCCCGAAGAGGGAGGGGAAGTAGGGGGGTTTTGAAGAACTCTAAACCCTAGAAAAACCCTAAGAAAACCCTAACCGAAGTTTAAGTGGTTAGGGTAGGGTACTGGTGACCTAATCAAGAAAATAAAATAGCAAGCATAGGGGGGGGAGGCGAGAGAAAAATAAATAAAAAGCGAGATTTCAAGAAAAAAACAAAAGAAAATAAATCATAAAAATAATTAAGAGAAGAAGTAAACAAAATGTGAAAAGAAAAATAATTTTTTTTTTTTTTTAATTTTTGGCAGCATTTTCCTACCCCCCATGGGGTCAAGAATGTGCCAAGGGGAAAGGAGAGACTAAGGTGAGCACACTAGGTTTCAAGATGCCGCAAATAAAAAATAATAATAATAATAATAATAATAATAATAATTAATAAATAAATAAATAAATGGGTGAGGAGGTAGGGAGAAATGAAGTATCTGATTTGTTAAAAATTTCGGCAGCATTTCGTTACCCCCATGGGGTCGAAGTGTGTCGAGAAGACTAAGTAAGGGAAAATCAGAAAATTTCGGCAGCACTTCGTTACCCCCACGGGGTCAAAACGTGTGTCGAAAGCAAGAAAGACTAACAACCTAATCAGATTTAGGGTTACCGTAAAGAAAATCGAATTTTCAAAATAAATAAATAAATAAATAAAATAAATCAGAAAATGAGAAAAGAAGGTGGGAAAGAAGACATTTCGAATTTTTGAAAAAAGAGAAAATATAAATCAAAAGGCAGATAGAAAAAAGGAAAGCAGAAAATTTGGAAGTAGGAAGGGAAGGGGGTATGAGAAAGTGATGGAGAGAAAAAAGAAATAGGTGGGAGAGGAAAAAGATGGAAGTGGAAGGTGGGGGGATGATGTGGTGGCAGTTGGGGGAGAGGAGGGTGAGAGAATGGGAAAGAAAGAGGATGGGAAAGATGGAGAGTGATAAAAAAACTAAGAGGAAAGAAGGAGGAGAGAAAAAAAAAGAAATGAAGAAAAGAGGGTAAGATAGTGGTCAGTGGGAGAAATGGTAGGGTGGGGAAGGTAAAAAGAGGAGGGGAGAGAGGCAGTGGAAGGTGGGGGAAAGAAAAGGGGAGAGAGAGATGATACCTGACCCTTGGTGTCTCCAAGGGCACAAGGTATACCAAGACCAGGAGGGTCTTGGCCTTCGCTGCAGCCAACCAACTGGAGGATGTAGGGGGGCTGAGATCTTGATCAGCCCCTAGTTGCAGCACTGCAGATCCAGGGTGTGCTGTGTGAGCATACCCTGATGGATGATGATGATGATCTAGGGTTGGCTGAGTTCTTGATCAGCCACCCTACTGCCACAGTCACACAGCCCCCTAGCCAGGGGGAAATCTTGAGCTGCTGCTGCAGCAGTAGAGAGATAGTAAAAAAAAATAATAATAATGATGTTATGGCGCAGCCCCCCAACCAGAGGGGTCTTCAGTCCACAGCAAAGTGCCACGTGGCACTGCAGGTGGCCACGTGCACAGGCAGCAGCAGCCACGGGGGGGGGGGGGGGGGGGAGAGGGAGAGAGAGAGAGAGAGGGGGAGGGGGGGGGGGGGGGGGGGGGGGGGGGGGCGGGTAAATAGCAGCTTCTCCCATTGCTGCCTCGCTGGCCGCTGCTCTCTGCTCGGGGGCGAAGGGGGGGGGGCGGGGTAAATAGCCATCACCTCTTCAACACGAGGTTGCCGTGCTACAAGGTCGTGCATAGACTGTGGCCAGTGTGTTATGAGGGTGGTACACGCACGCGCATGGCCGGCAGCTGCCTGGGTTCAAACCCCAGCGGCAGCATGCATCCCGGATCTTAATTAATATAATCCGGGAGCGG